ACATGACTTAGTACTTGGTGACAAAACCCTTGTTGGCAATCACAGAGGTTAGACGTTTCTTGTAGTTGGCCACCAGGTTTGCACACATCTCAGGAGGGATTTTGTCCCACTCCTCTTTGCAGATCTTCTCCAAGTCATTAAGGTTTCGAGGCTGACGTTTGGCAACTCGAACCTTCAGCTCCCTCCACAGATTTTCTATGGGATTAAGGTCTGGAGACTGGCTAGGCTACTCCAGGACCTTAATGTGCTTCTTCTTGAGCCACTCCTTTGTTGCCTTGGCCGTGTGTTTTGGGTCATTGTCATTATAGAATACCCATCCACGACCCATTTTCAATGCCCTGGCTGAGAAAAGGAGGTTCTCACCCAAAATGTGACGGTACATGGCCCCGTCCATCGTCCCTTTGATGCGGTGAAGTTGTCCTGTCCCCTTAGCAGAAAAACACCCCCCAAAGCATAATGTTTCCACCTCCATGTTTGACGGTGGGGATGGTGTTCTTGGGGTCATAGGCAGCATTCCTCCTCCTCCAAACACGGCGAGTTGAGTTGATGCCAAAGAGCTCCATTTTGGTCTCATCTGACCACAACACTTTCACCCAGTTGTCCTCTGAATCATTCAGATGTTCATTGGCAAACTTTAGAGGGCATGTATATGTGCTTTCTTGAGCAGGGGTACCTTGCGGGCGCTGCAGGATTTCAGTCCTTCACGGCGTAGTGTGTTACCAACTGTTTTCTTGGTGACTATGGTCCCAGCTGCCTTGAAATCATTGACAAGATCCTCCCGTGTAGTTCTGGGGTGATTCCTCACCGTTCTCATGATCATTGCAACTCCACGAGGTGAGATCTTGCATGGAGCCCCAGGCCGAGGGAGATTGACAGTTCTTTTGTGTTTCTTCCATTTGCGAATAATGGCACCAACTGTTGTCACCTTCTCACCAAGCTGCTTGGCGATGGTCTTGTAGCCCATTTCAGCCTTGTGTAGGTCTACAATCTTGTCCCTGACATCCTTGGAGAGCTCTTTGGTCTTGGCCATGGTGGAGAGTTTGGAATCTGATTGATTGATTGCTTCTGTGAACAGGTGCCTTTTTATACAGGTAACAAGCTGAGATTAGGAGCACTCCATTTAAGAGTGTGCTCCTAATCTCAGCTCGTTACCTGTATAAAAGACACCTGGGAGCCAGAAATCTTTCTGATTGAGAGGGGGTCAAATACTTATTTCCCTCATTAAAATGCAAATCAATTTATAACATTTTTGACATGCGTTTTTTGGATTTTGTTGTTGTTATTCTGTCTCTCACTGTTCAAATAAACCTACCATTAAAATGATAGACTGATCATTTCTTTGTCAGTGGGCAAACGTACAAAATCAGCAGGGGATCAAATACGTTTTTCCCTCACTGTACATCTGCAGAACGTGAAGCACCAGTGGCATCTACATTTGCAGAACGTGAAGCACCAGTGGCATCTATATAATATCATTTTTTAAAATACTGGTATAAGAAGCGCGGTACATTATTGTAACGCACATTATTCTGATCTGGCCAGTAACAAATAAAATGTGTCATCCACCTGCTTCATGAAATATTTGACCATCGTGCATCATTGCCAGGTTTATAGGTTACTAACATGAGGTCTTTTGCACATCAATAATCCTTGCATCCTAGCCAGTAGGAAAATCTGAATGTTGTTTCTTCTTGCAATTTTCCGAATAGATTATTTAAAAGATGAATGGTTGTTCTCTCGTCAATGCCTGTTCTGTCTTTCGTATGGATAGAGTATCAACTGAAAATCGATGTCTAAGTTGTGAATCCAGCTTTCGGATTCAGATCTTAGCGAATGTGAGACTCGGTCACAACACGCTCCACTCAACACACGAGCTCCACCCTCAACACGAGCTCCACCCTCCACACGAGCTCCACCCTCAGCACGAGCTCCACCCTCCACACGAGCTCCACCCTCCACACGAACTCCACCCTCAGCACGAGCTCCACCCTCCACACGAGCTCGACCCTCAGCACGAGCTCACAACGCGCTCCACTCTCGTGGTACCCGGCGGCGGCGGCGTTTGGATTCCGAGCCTCTGGCTCCGACGCCCTCGCGGTGCCGGTCTGCACGGCGAGAGCAGCGCACGCGGACGGTCTGGAAGCACCCGGCGGAGGCTTTGCCTCCATCGGCAATCCACCGGCTGCGCGGTGTCAGAGTGAGAAGCACTCGACGCCACGTGCCAGATCCAACACAAGCGCAGTGCAAGGCAGATCGTTGCAATGACGGATCACAAAAACAACAACGACCATATCTACTGTTAGATATTTGGTTGTGTTAATATGGTCACGTGTCGCTTTGTTATGTACATAAATTCCATCGTCTGACAAAATGTAACATTTAAACTTATGCTTATTTTATTCAAAATACAGTTAACAGTAACATGCACATTTGTAAACCAATTCTGTTCTACAGAGCATGACTGAAGTACCTTCATGTGCTCTTACCAAGTTATAAATTCATCTAAGAAAAATAGTGTAAGTTGAGAATATATGCCCATAACGGGTAAAGTACATGGCCCATAAAAGCTATTATGTGTTCTGTTCATTAATCCACAATGTAATATGCAAGAACCTTATCACAATGCAAAACAGTCATACTGCTCTATTTCAATAGGACTGACATGTGCATTTAATGCGGGAAACAGCAGATGTCAAACAAATATTAAGTTAAATTGGTATTCAATCAACGTAATAGTTGATTATGAAAAATATGAGCCATGCATCTTTGTATGCTGTCACTTGTAAACTAAGTCTTATTGGCAGGCAGCACAAAATGGGACTGAACGCAACGTGGATTTCCCATGAACTTCTAAATCGCCATACAAATGTACTTTCCGGCAAACCAAGGGTCACGAGGCTTGAAATACATCCCTCGGTTGTCATCCAAGCAAGCCGAAACATGTCGCCACAACCACGTCGATATTCTAAGCCTGCCAACTACAAGACATTGCAAAACGAATGCTCTTCGCAATCAAGACGCGTCGTGAAGTCAGAAGGCGACGGCGGATGATGCTGCCGCGTGGCTCGGAGCAGGAATGTTGTCGCCACACTTCACGACTGAATTCGTCACAAGCGTAACGTCAATTTTCTCTTGAAGTTCATATTCCACTGACACAAACCCCTCCGTCTTCTCCACGTGAACGTGTTGGCGGTACCACCGGCGGTGTGTGATTAAACAACAACAACAAACATCGCTATAATTTACTTTCCCGCGATTCTCAACCCCGGTCAGGAAATCTTGCGGGGTGGTGGCAGTGGTGATGTTGCGTCCGAATCAGTTCTCGTGATGTCGAAGCCGTGAGAAAGCGAACGTGTATGTGAGCGGGCCGAACACGAAGGTGCACGTGTGTTGCCGTGTAGCAGCACCCAGCCCTGATGACGATCGGCCAATCCGTGTTTTAGACTCCTCGTGACCTCGACAGATTTGAGTCGTGCCCGAGACTCGGTCGGACAATTCCTCAATTCAACTCGCCGGACTATCCATCGGCGGATCAAGAAGACGACGACGAATAAGATGATGTTCCAGTCCGACCTCGGGCTCATAAGGCAACGCAAGGAAGCTGCTTCTGCTGCTCGAGGCGAAACCCTCCTCCTGGTCGGCCCAAAAGGCCCTGGAACCAAGTCAACGGTCAAGATTTACCTTTTTTTTAGCAAGGCTCAGCCGACTGAATAAAACTTCGAATCGCGTCAAACTTTGCGACAGGATCAATTAATGACTGATAAGAAACAGATTTTCTGATTAACATTTTGATTTCAGGCTGTTTCATGAGGACCGTTGAGTGCTATGCTGCACCGGTGTACCGCCAATACGTCCAGAATATCATTTGGAAAAACCTGTACCTTGATCTGTACCTTTGCTGACACAAGCACTTCTAATATTTTCTTATTTCTATTCAATGTTCTGAAACGCCAGTGAAAATGTGAGCCAACTCGAGTTACAGGATTCGCATTGTAACCTCAGTAAAAACATGATTGTAACCAATCCGATCAATTTTCACAACGTTCTATCATTTAATCGCTTATATATATGTATATAAAAAAACTTGTTTGCTTTACATATTATAAATATTCTTCAACAAATTACTATTGATAATGGTTGTGCGCGCCAAGTTTGACTGTGCTCAGAAGCCCACAACTTGCAGGGCTACACCAATAAAACGTAACGCCAACACTGTTATTTGCTCACCCAGGAAGATACCAGCACCCTCAATGTTCATCGCATGGCTGGGTGGGGGGATCGTCGATAGGCCCGGGAATTCATTCACTGGTTGTGGGTTCATTCATTCTATCGCGATCCGTGCTGATGACAAGCAAAGCCGAGATGCAAGTTTGACTTGTCAGTTCAAAAGTAAAACCAAATATGTTCTCTGCCTCCTTTCACTTTGTGTGCTGATGTCGTGGTACAGCAGAACCCCTCTTCACGACTGACCGCTTCACGACGGGCCTCTATGGAGACCAATGTGTTCACTTACCGACCATTCCCCTGTTAACGACGGGCTGTTGTAAGTACAGTAAATAGTAATGAATGTATCGATTAACCATGTTTCTTTTAATATTATGTATTTATAATATTTGTATTTTTCCATTAATATACATAGCTTAATTATTATAAAGTACGTTTTTGGGGTGACAAATTAAGCCTTTAACATGGATTTCCTAGTATTTGCTTTAACGACCAAATCACTTAACGACCGAGTGCGTGGAACCAATTTCAGTCGTTAAGAGGGGTTCTACTCTATTAGAATATCACTCGGCCGCCCGTCACCTGAACTGGTGACTCGGACGGTGCCCTCTCCATGACCTCAGGTGGAAGGCACCACAACCCAGGGCATTCCAGGGAAAAGGCGCCCCCCCCCCCTCCCCCCGAATAATTCCACTCCACCAGCCACCTCCTACTTGTCGTCTTCAGCCATGCTGGTAAGTCCATGGAAGCATTCCCCCCCCCCCCGCCCCCCCAGAGAGATCAGCACGTAGCACCGGTCTGTAACAATGCAGCTCGTTCAACAGAATACTGCGCACAAGTCGTCAGCATGTGAGACACGAGTTGTGGTGCACCCACCAATTATTAAGCATCTGTAGTGCACCCATCGCTTGCACTATTACGCACAGACCTTAAGTTAGGCGTATGGCATCCAATGAAACGTCAAGCAGCTATTACCAACGCAGTAGGAAAACGCTATTCTTGTATTATGACTTCAGCCATTCAAATATACATGTCACGTTTAAATGGTTGTTTTGGATTGTGAAAAAGCAATATCCCAATTGTGCAACTGGCATTGTGGCAGAGCTGTAACCAACATCATTATTTTGGTGAACTGGTCGAGAAGCCACAGAACTCAAGCTCCTGTTGGCCTTGTCCCCTCGTGAGGGACAGAGGAAACACTGCCACCAACCCTCACCTGCCCTGCAACGACAACAACAACAACCACCACCACCGTCCGCCACGAAGCGGCAGTGATGACACCACAGAGCTTGTGCCAGGCTAGATGAACCTTGGGGCCATGTGGAGATTGTTGAAGGCTCGCTGACAGGTGGTCACGGGACAGACCCAAGTGTTACGAGTTAACTGCCTGAGACGACTGACAAATGCGCCAGCCTGCCCGCTCTCACCTACGCATACTAAAACAGCGTGACCAGACACAAAACCCACTCAACATGAGACCCAAAAGATGATGATTTTGTCACATGCGCGTGCGTATTGAAACATATCGAGTCAAGATTCTTAGAAGAGAAAACACCTGAATTCATGTTAGCTGACTTTGTCTGAAATGCTCCAAGGCAGGAATTTACAAGATTGTGCTTTTTAAGTTGTGCAGGTAAATGGGAGGCTTACTCCTAGAAATAGTTATCCTTATGAGACTGCCCCAAATGTTCACAAGATTTTGCTAGGGTCATTTGTTGACCAAGCTACGATATTTGATGTGAGATTGTGCTTTCAATAATGCTCTTAAGTTGTCTACAGCTAGGGTTCACTGGATCTTGGAAGCTGAGCAGGTCTAAGCCTGGTTAACACGTAGGTCGTCGTGACCAATATTATCCATTAAGGTTTTTTGGGGGGTAAGATCGCATGAATATAATTGTGTCGTGAAACCCACCACCAACCGGCACAGCCAATTGGTAAGGTCTGTCACGTAAACAAAACATGCAAATTAGTTACTAGTCCAACACTCCGCTTGTGTGTTGGAGAGTAAACCCACAACGTTTACAATTTAAATTACAAACCTTACTAATTGGCTGTGTTGGGCGGTGGGGGGCTTAACGACACATTTATGTTTACACGATCTTACCCAACAAAAACCTCTATTATAGGTTTAAGCCTGGTTAAAAGGTGAATGGGAGATTTCCGGTGAATTCCAAGTAGTGTAAGGTTGGCAGTACAGAAAGAGGTTTTAGAATCCATCTGTCTAGAGCTTCGACAGTAAGACCCTGGTATGCGCAGCGCGTTTTCTCATGTTTTTTGTTGTTGTTCCCACTCATTAATGGAACTGGACAAACATCCCAATGCAGGGACCTCTCTTTAAGGAAATATTCTTGAGACTCGGCGAGGCTTAGCTGGATAAAACTAAGGACATCATTAGTATTGTTGTTGTAATGGGACTGTATGATTCTCTCCGGTATTCTCTGAAATATTAACCTTGTGACTTAATACTACTTTGATGAGAGCATTTAGTACTGGACCGCCATGACACCCATACACCACGGAAGTGGTAATCTAAGAATATTTACTTCATATTCTTGGTTCTTTCGGTAAAGTCACGTAGAAGGGAAATAATAAAATAATATAAATATTAAACAAAATTATCACTACGTTTCGACTGCAACACAAGCAATCATCAGCGAAATCGCTGTCCGTGGTGCTGACGTTAAGAAAAAAACGCCACTTTTTCAAATTTTCTTGTTGTGGATTTCATACCTGATGATGATTGCTTGTGTTGCAGTCGAAACGTCGTTGAGAATTTAATTGTTTTATATTTTTATTATTTTATTATTTCCCTTCTACGTGACTTTACCAAAAGAACCAAGAATATGAATCCCTGCAGTCACGAAAGCTTTAAATCAAAATATTTACTTCCTTTCACGGTATTTAAAAAAAAAAGCGTTTTAACGAGCGTACGTCAAAACCTTTGTAGATGCGTATCGGTCCACGTACGAGTTGTAACTCCCAGACACGCATTGTGCTCTTGTGCGTCAGTGGTTCACCATGAACTGCCCGAGAAGAAACGCTCACGAAGGTTGGGTGGCCATAGGCGGAAAAAATGTGAAATGCGCACAACAACAATTTCAGACAAACCTGACTATGTACATTGGATAAAACAGCAAAATCAATCTTCAGACAATTTTCGAATAAGCGAGAACAAATTCCCACCCCACATGCCTTTTTTTTTGGAATATTTAAACGACGGTTTAATAGTTTTCTTTTTTAATGTACACGAGCTTAATGGAGATACCACTTGCACAAGAACGACGAAAAGTCTTTTTGAAAAGGCGATGACAAATCAACGATGACGATGATTAAAAACCCCAGCATGTCACAGCATGGGGTTTGCAGGTGAGAAGCCATGCTGTGCCACGCACCACGCGCCACGCGCCCACCACAGTCAGGGGCCCACGCTGCGCGGAGACCTCTCGGGCTCGTGCGTGCGACGGTTGCGTCCCTTCTTGCCGTCCTGGAGGTGCTTCCACTTTGCGTGGCCGAAGCCTCCGTGGTGCCGTCCCTTGCCCTGCCGGCCGCGGTGCCGCCGCTCGCGATGCCACACCTGCTCGCAGAAGTCGTCGACGCCGCCCAGCGTCGGGTGGTTGATGAGCTGCATGAAGTCGCGGTACCAGAGCCGGCGCGACGGTGCGGCGCCCGGCAAGGACGACAGCGGCGGCGGCGAGGAGCCGGCGCCCTCCGTCGCCTGCGCGATCCTGGCCCTGGACATGGCCTCGTCCTCCTTCCGCAGGAGCTCTTCGAGCTGCGCGGCGTCGATCACCTCGAGGCGGAAGCGCCGCAGGGTCTGCGCGAAGCCGTGCTCCGAGGCGCGGCACAGGTAGGAGCCCGTGTCCCTGCGCAGCGTGCCGCGGAAGAGCAGGCCGTGGGCCGTCTTCACCACGCGGTCGTCCAGCGTCACCTGCGGGGGGGTGGAGGGGGTGGGGGTGAAAGGGCCGAGTCAAAAGGAGACGCGGGACGCACGCCGCGGCGGATAACGACGCGCGGAAGGGGGCCGCTGAATTTCACCGGAGACCGTCGATGCAGTTGTGTTCACTCCTTTCTCTTTGAATAATTGGACGGAACTCAGAGAGTAAAACACAAAGCCCAATCACATCCTGATCGTGATGTCTCGGATAAGAGGTTTGATGCTTAACGCATGTATGACGGGTTTTTTTACTTAACAATTGATTTTTAAACAGTAGCTCTAAAAATAGCCCCACTTCCTCCAGGTGTGGTCATTAATTTGGTATTGCTTCTGCAGGGTTTATTACAAGTAAAGTTTTCTCGCACGCATCAATCAGTTCGTGCTAATTTGCAATGAATGAGGTCACGAGGCTCCGTGGGAGAAACCCCACGAACGAGGACATTGCCAAAGTGCGTACAGTGTGTACAGCAGGTAAGAGGAGCAGTACGGTACAATACAACATTACGGCACAATACAGGATGTTTTGGTTCTTAACTACGGTATGATATTTCGGTACAGTATTTTTGTCATCAGGAACGGTACGAAAGTACAGACATTGTTTTATGTACCCTTTCTGTACCAACTCAGGTGACCAATTATTTTCTGCTAATCATTCTACTATATTGTCTACAATAATTTAACAAGTCAATTATCAAAAACTAAAATGGCAGGCAAGATTCCTTTCTCAAAATGCCACTTAGCGTGGATAACGAATGATAATTTTAAGCGTTTTCAATTGACATTTTAAAATTATGCAATTTTGGATTTAAATGTGTTTTTTTGTCAATTCTAACAAAACAATCAAACATGTTAACAGAATATTGTTTTTGTTTAAGGGTAAGAAGCATTCAGCAAAATATAAATCAGGCAAAACAATATACTATAAAGCTTGCTTGTCATCTATCCCTTATTTTCTTTTTTTTCTATGGTATAAGGTACAAAATCTTACCGTACTGGTACGATACGAAAATGTTCTCAAAGGTACGATACAAAAAATCTAAAGGCACGGTACAAAGTTATGGTCTGGTATTTTTTCGAGGATGAAATACAAAATATATATCTCCTACCGCCGCACCGTACTGCCAAGTGCTACTGCACTCATGATTTAGAACCAGGAGGAGCCCTGATTCACTTTGTCATTGAAGCGTTAACATCTCAAAATTCACACGATCTGATTTGCAAGACGGGTGGAAAAATAGCAACCTGCTACCCACACCCGCCTGGAATTCACCGCTGTGGATTTGCTTCCCCGATGTTGGTCGTCTATTTTATTTATTCTTAGCACGTAATTAACATCTTCTCAGTCTAAACATATAGATTTTTTATTCAGTTGTTTCCCTCTTTGCTGTTTGTTAAGTTTTTTTGCGATGTGGGTCTGCTGATATAATAACAAATCTGCCTCCAAATGTTCACACTCTTGTTGCTTCCATTTAGTTTTCAAACCTTGTAAGTTTAACAAACTTTATGAATTATTCTTTGGTTCTTTCGGTTAAGTCACGTAGATCGCGTAAGTATAAATGCGTCGTAACCCTCCACCACCCTACACAGCCAATTAGTAAGGGATCTGTCACGTAAATAAAACGCCAATTAGTTACTACTTCAGCCCACCGGTGTGTTGAAGAGTAAATCCACAACAATTACAATTTGAGTAGTGCGGCGTTTCGCTGGTAATTACACCAAGCATCATCGGGCAATTTGCCAAATCGTCTGATGATGCTGGATGATGCTGGATGTAAATCCCTCGGGTGGTGGAGGGTTACGACGCATTTGTAGTTACGCGATCTAACCAAAAAACCTTAATTATAAACTTTTAGAAGATTAACTTTTCGAGTGATGCCCCTCAATATTAACTATATTTCTTTATGCCATATTGTAGCAGTGCCGATATATTTATATCGCTATTTTGGTGACTAGTTAACGATAGTTTGAACAACTGCTTTGTGAGAAATAAAATATTCTCGAAACCGATGGTTTAACATCTCCAACTGGGAGCTTTCACCAACACCCACAGTTGCACTTTACCCTTCTCCACCACAACACCAAACCGTGCCACTACTCTGTTAGCACCACTGACGCTGCATTGACACAACAAAGTCTCGCGGAAGAAAGCCCAAAGTACCGACGTATTCATTCCCACTCACTGACGGAAACACAACCCCCACGTCGAAGGTTCATAGGCAGCTGCTGCCCGCGACGCTCTCCACGCCAACGTCACTAACGGGGAAGCTGCCTGCCAACGACGCTGGCGGTGGGGAGTGGAGGCGGTCACCTCGTTCTTGGCGGACTGGCCGCTGGGCTTGCCGAGGAGCCATGAGACGTGCGCTTGCTGGGACTTGGGGAGGCACTCCAGCAGCAGGCTGCTGTTCTCCACTCCGTACACCAGCTGCTCCTCCATGCTCTCTGCATCCCCAGCCACTGAAGCCACACACACAGCACTCAAGCAGGCCGCTTGTTGTTGTTGTTGTTGTCGTGTTGAGATTGGTGTCTCCCCCCTCCCGCCCGCCGCGCACCTCCGATGAGCAATGGTTGGCTACGTATGGCGCGTAGGAAGTTCAACGCACGTACATCCTCTACAATGGCGCTCGTGGTTATTTTGCGTGACGTGTTGTGTGGTTTCGCGTCGGACTGGGAAATCGTTGTCTGACAGAAGTGGGGAACCTTGCCGGTGAGACAGAGAACGTCATAAGCCCGTCCAGAGTTTGCACGTGCTGAACCAATTGCTGGTGAAAGATTGGATGTGTAAAAAAAACGAATTTATTTTTGTGCCGAGGGATTGATACTGGAAGGAGGTGTATTGTCTTGCATAATTATTTTGTCTCTGGAGAAAGGACAAATCCACCACTTTGTGCTTAATAATACGAAAAGCAAACTTGCTGTGTTTGAAAAAACAAAACACGTATGACACATTTTATTGGAAAGACGGTTATTCACAAAATGCCCATGTGAGTATAAAGACTAGCTCTGTGCCATTCTCTGGAATCCCGTGGATTTCTCAATAACTTATGAGACGTCACAAATATATAAACGCAAGTTTTACTTTATAACATCACATTATCTGAAAATCTGCCGGAGCAGGAGCAGCGCAAGGCTGCTGGGCCCTGGATCCAGGTGCTCGCGGCCGGCACGACGAGGTCGCGAGTAGTCATTGTTTGAAGCACTGTCGCACACTTACGTGAGTAGTACTGGTCGGAGCACTGAGTGAGGGGGTCTCCGTTGCGAACGTCCTGCCGCCGTGACCTCCTGCTGCGAAAGCAAAAACCGTGATGGTAATGCTCACAGCTGCACAATAGCATCGTCATGGGCGCCCCAGTGGCGAGATGTTAACAACCTCGCCAGGTATACAGGAAGTAACGGGTTCGCCCCCGACCCTGACGCCTGCTGTATATTTGGAGTTTGCGTGTCTCTCTCTCTCTCCGTGGTCGCGTGGATTTTTCTCTGGGTCCTCCGGTTTTCCCTCCAAATTTAGAATCAACATCACGCGTTTAGAGTATTTGGCTGCTAGAAATTTCCACATGATGATAAGCCACTTCGTTGAGCTATCATTTGTGGCCAGGTCACTTCTGAAAAAGAGCTATGTAGCTCAGTGGGCCTTACCTGGTAAAATAACAAATATTTACAATAAATTTGTAGTTATACAGTCTGTTCTCCTGTAACGCGGTAGTTGCATTCCTGAAGAACACCGCATTGTGGAAAAATCGCGTTATAATGAATAATATATAGTAGAGGATATAAAGCACAATACACGAAAACACGTGAGATGCGTATGCAGGTTGAGCACAGACTGAGGCGAGTGGGTAGCATCTACAAGCATCCAGCAGCATCCCAACGCCTTGCGCGATGCCACGCCGAGGATGCCGCACACACCGCTTATTCCTCCTCGCGCGACGCAGTTCCGTGCACTCGATTCGTGCTCTACATCCAATCCGCGTTATGAAAGCCAACAGGCGTTTGCAGCAGAACTGCCCGTAACGTCACAGGCAGCTTGAGGACGCGGCGAGAGCGTGGCGGCGGCGGCGGGCAACCTGCGCGAGCTGGGGAAGTATCGCGTGCAGGAGGCGCCGTCCCAGGCGCAGTAGGGGTCCCGGGCGAGGCAGCACTCGGCGCACGCCTTGCCGTACACCCCGCAGCGGTGCAGCGCCAGCTGCGTGAGCCCGCCGCTCGAGCCGATGTAGAGGTATTGCTGTGGTCAAGAGACGGCAAGAAGAGGCGCAGCGCGCGCGCTGTGTGTGCCATGTCCAGGCTCTGCCGTGCCACGCTAGTAGTGGCGCATCCAAGTGGGGGGCGACTGGGGAGATGGGGGTCATTAACCCCCTCCCCCACGAGTATTGGTGTTTTATTGATATTTAACGGATAATTTTTTTTAAATATTTTTTTGATTATTGTTATTATTGTTGACCCTATTTTAAAAGGCTGCCATTTATGAACGAACTTTCCACCCTTGGGCACTTTCCAGATCCGCCTCTGCTGCCAGGAGAGAGTTTACTAGCGACAAAGCCATAACGCCGACTTGGTGAAAACCCACGGCTTCTCCGGCAAGTCACGCACGCCAGCTCCCTTTTCCGGGATCTCCGTGTCCCTAAAACATGGAAATCAGTCGGGGACATTTGTGTTGAAGCTATTTTGTTTAAAAATCATTGTTATTGATCCAACCACGGGTGGTGTACAACTTCTGCGACAGGTGAGCCGTGCATAGAGGGACAGGTGGCTCGGACAGACAACCAGCGCAGACGCGTGGGACCGTAGCGGTACGCGGTGCGTGGTGCGTCAGATCCATTTTCTTCGGGGAAGGAAGGGGGAAGAGGAGGGGGGAGGGGGAGTCGGTCTCGTTTCAAGTTCGGTCAAGTGAACTCAGGGTCTCTGGAGTGGCATTCACAAGGGGGCCCTATACCTGGGTCAACTCCGACTCAGGTGTTCTAAAGCTGCGAGGACGAATCGGGAGTTATGCCAAAGGGTGAATGAGGGGGGTTCCCGTGGTTCTTCCAGGAGCTCAGGATACAATGTTGGGTATTATCTCGGTGCCAGACATCACGCTGTACAGATCGGTAATTTAACCACAGAACGTCCTCATGGCGGGACAGTCCCAGGAGGCGTGGATGCAACGTTTAGATGGTGCCCGGGGGCCACCTGGGCCAGTCGGGGGATTTGGTTGAAACTCTTTTTTTTTAAACACTCATCTTCGTGTGCGTTGGTTTTTTTAATGTAAACTCGAGCAACGTTCGCTCACGTTGAAGCCTATTTCCCGACTGTTGAATCCGCTTACATTACTGGCACCAAGCAGTAGTGATTAAAAAAGGTATTGTTTGTGAAAACAACATTGAATCGTACACAGGGCACTTTTGAAAATGCGTTAGGGAACTCACCAGCTTTGATGAGATTTCCATGCTCAAGATGGGTTCAGGTTCCTAAGTAGAAAACACACAAATGACGACTGAAATGAGTAAGTAAATAAACACCACAATGCATTCACAACCAGCACAAATTTGTGTTTACGTTGAATTATAGTTTAACCAAAGGCCTGCGACCACATCTCCTCATGCGTTCTGGGGAGCTAAGCAGGCCTGAGCCTGGATAGTGCTTGGATGGGCGACAGCATCAACAAACAGGCTGCTGCTGTAGGGCTGACAGGTTGATATAGGGTTGCTATGGGGTTGTGAGATGACGCGGTGGGCTTTGGGTTGTTATAGGCTGCTATAGGTTACTGATTGCTATAGGGTTGCTATAGGGTTGCTATAGGGCTGTTATAAGGTTGCTATAGGGTGCTATAGGTTTCTATAGGAGAGCTATAGGTTGCTATAGGGTGCTATAGGTTTCTATAGGGTTGCTATAGGTTTCTATAGGGGAGCTATAGGTTAGGTTACTATAGGTTGCTATAGGGTTGCTATAGGGTTGCTATAAAGCTGTGAGACAACGCTGTGAGCAGCAGAGGTCAGTGCAGGTCTGTGCAAGGTAGCAATAAACCCCATGAATGTGCATCGCTCTAATAATTGGGCCAGTGGCAATTATTAGGTCGAGTGTGATGTCATCGCTACCGGCATTTGCCACCATTTCACTGCAGGGCTACAAATAGAAACTCCGCTCTGTGCTTGCGGCCTTCATCCCTGAAGGTGCAGACGAACCTTGAAGACCTGGATCTCCTCGAGAAGAACCTCCTCCAAGTCCTGCCAGGTCTGGCGCGGCACCGACACCACCTTGAGCACGGTGCCCACGTCTGCATTTGCCACGCGGCACGCACCGCACACAAAGACAAAGATCCCCCGTGTAGCCTTAACAGACTGTTGGGGCAAGTTGACGTTAGAGCGCCTATGAAGGCCGGCACGGCACACGAAGGGGATGGGTGGCTAGCACCACGCACGGCCGCCTTTGTCTCCCTAGTGGCGATGTTTACACACCGCATCAGGTACTCATTTGAGGCTGAATCGACCTAGGGGAGGCCCAAGACCGGTTCAGATAATCGTCACTGCTGTTGGCCGTGAGCGGGAATCGAACTCCGGTTGTTGGGTTCGTAGCGCAGGGAAGCGCTAACCGCTGCACCACCGCTCCCCCTCCGCCCCACCCACCCACCCCATGCCACCGCACACCACAAGCACCGCACACATCACATGACACAATGCTTATATGACACGCAAGTGTGTGTAACACTCATCACGCACTACAATGGCTAATTCTTACAAATTACATCACTCTCACTTGAGAGCGGGTAAAGCATTTTACCAGTTGACCCAATGCACAAGATTTAGTTTAAATCCCCTGCTGCTGTGCGCCCCAGCAGCATGAAAGGAGCACACAGCAGTCGATCGGCAGCTCATGCATGGTAGGGTAAAGTGTGGGTTACTCTCCCCTCTACCAAGACATCTGTCCGGCGTGGAAGAGTAGGCCAAGTACTCTCCAGACAGGCTCTCTCTGGAGTTGCCTCTAGCGGAGGTCTTTCGACCAGCGGCGCCTTAAGCAAGCAATTCCAGGCCCGCACCTTTACCCTCACAGTGGATACGGTGATTCACCATGGGAGTGGCTCAGCCACTGCTGGTGGCTATTGCATCGCCAGCCATGGGAAAGACAGCAAACTAAACACAAAAAGCAGTTCTAAAGAAATGAGTATTCAATCTCGATTATTTAAAAATGCATAGCTCCAGTGGCTTCCTAATATCGGAAGGAAGAGCGTTCCAGACGGCCAAAGAAGTGCATCTGAAAGCGCCGCGCGATGACGCGGTGACCACCGCCTTTGTTCGATGGCCAGCCAAAAGCTGCTGCTGCGAGGATGACGGAGTTCACGCGATGGTTTGCGCTCCATGACGAGAACATCACAGAGAGACGACACAGAGAGACGTCACAGAGAGACGTCACAGAGAGACGCACCACGCTCGCCCCACCCCCAGAGAGACGACACAGAGAGACACACCCCCAGAGAGACATCACAGAGAGACGACACAGAGAGACATCACAGAGAGACGAGACAGAGAGACATCACAGAGAGACGACACAGAGCGACGACACAGAGAGACGACACAGAGAGACGTCACAGAGAGACGTCACAGAGAGACGCACCACGCTCGCCCCACCCCCAGAGAGACGACACAGAGAGACACACCCCCAGAGAGACATCACAGAGAGACGACACAGAGAGACATCACAGAGAGACGAGACAGAGAGACATCACAGAGAGACGACACAGAGCGACGACACAGAGAGACGACACAGAGAGACGACAGAGAGACGACACAGAGAGACATCACAGAGAGACGACACAGAGAGACGACACAGAGAGACGACACAGAGAGACGACACAGAGAGACGTCACAGAGAGACGTCACAGAGAGACATCACAGAGAGACATCACAGAGAGACATCACAGAGAGACATCACAGAGAGACGACACAGAGAGACGACACAGAGAGACGACACAGAGAGACGACACAGAGAGACGTCACAGAGAGACGACACAGAGAGAAGCGCCACGCTCGCCCCACCCCCAGAGAGACGTCACAGAGAGAAGCGCCCCGCGTCGCCGCTGACCGGTGGCGATGAACATGACGTCGTAGTGGCCGTCGTCGGCCTCCACGCGGTCCACGACGATCTGCGTGAAGCGGTACCCCACGTCGGTCTGCAGCAGCAGCGGCCGCTGAGCCGCGGGCCGCACCGGGTGCAGCATCAGCGGGTGGCCCTTCACGAAGCTGACCACCTCGTCCGGGAAGGCCTTCGTCGACTCAAACCCCCCGAATATGCGACTCGGGCACTGCGGCGCACGCACAGGTAGATCAGCGCGTGTGTGTGTGTGAGTGTCATTGGTATTGGTGAGTGTCTGAGTGTGTGTGTCTTTGTGTGTGAGTGTCTGAGTCTGTGTGTGTGAGTGTCTGAGTGTGTGTGTGAATGTCTGGGTGTGTGTGTGAGTGTCTGGGTGTGTAGACTCAAATGAGTACCTGGTGCCGTATCTAAGTGTGTGTCTGAGTGACTGAGTGTGTGAGTGTCTGAGTGTTTGTGTGAGTGTTTGAGTGTGAGTGTGTGTATGTATGTGTGTGGGGAGCGGTAGTGTAGCGGTTAGCGCGCTGCGCTACGAACCTGGTGACCCGGGTTCGATTCCCGCTCACGGCCAACACCGGTGACGATTATCTGAACCGGGCCTGGGCCTTCCCTAGGTCGACTCAGCCTCAAATGAGTACCTGGTGCGATGTGTAAACATCGTCACTAGGGAGACAAAGGCGGCCGGGCGTGGTGTTGGCCATCCACCCCCTCGTGTGCTGTGCCGGCCTTCATAGGTGCTCGCTAACAGCACTTGCCCCTACAGTCTGTCAAGGCTACACGGGGGATCTTTGTATGTATGCGTGTGTGAGTGTCTGAGTGTGTGTGTTAATGTGTGTCTGAGTGTGTATGTATGCGTGTCTGAGTGTATGAGTGTCTGAGTGTGTGTTTGTGAATGTCTGAGTGTGTGAGTGTTTGAGTGCATACCTGTCAACCCATACGGTTTACCAGTATTCCTGCACAGGGAAATTTAGTTTTCAGGTCCATACGGCGTACAGCCGTTTCAATACAGGCAACAACAAAAAATAATTGTCTATTTGTTTGTGTTTCTCCCTGATGATGGAACTTTGTAGGATGAACGTTGATATTTATAAGGGCACGGGGTGACCAAATAAAGTCTTAATTGGTCTGTAATAAGGTAGGCACTGATAAGGGGTTGACATTTACGTGAGCATGTGAATATGAGCGTGAGTGTTCACATGGATACATGCCAGCTTTGTGTGAAAAATTATTCAAGGTTAAATGTTTATGCTGCTCTTAAACACACCGTACACCGTGTAACTTCCCTAAATTAAAAACACGTCAGAGCAAAGGACTATTTACAACAACATCCGTGGTTTACCCAATGGGCTAGAAGCACGTGGTCACAATTCTGAGGGTTATTAAATACATTTATTATCCCACTCAAATTGAATGGAATTCATCAGAAACCCCAAAATATTTGTGCGTCGAATTTTCCAAAGGTATATCCCCCCCCCCGTCGACAAGTGAAATGTTTGAAACCACAAATGCCGCTAAACCGCGCATCCCATTAGTCTGCCGGTATGCGTATGTAATTCTTGGTGGCTGAACGCCTGGTTAGCTGCGTATAGAGTTCGTGCGCGTGTGTGCACGTGTTATTATTCTGGCGATTGCTTTGTTCATGGATAACGAGCGCACGCGAACACACGTTTAGCGGCGAGGGACTCACGGTGCCAGGGCGCGGGTAGGGCACGCGGCCCTGGTACGCCACCCACTTGTGGCTGGGGCCCTCCTTATGGGCAAAGGGGCCCAGGAAGGTGCGGCGGACGTCCGCCATGCTGTACATGCACACGGCCGAGCCCGTGAACACGCTGCTGCAAGGCCACACAACGCACACGCGCACCTCGTCACACGCGCACCTCGTCACACGCACCTCGTCACCGACACGCGCACCTCGTCACACACACACCTCGTCACACGCACCTCGTCACACACGCACCTCGTCACACGCACCTCGTCACACGCACCTCGTCACACGCGCACCTCGTCACACGCGCACCTCGTCACACGCACCTCGTCACCGACACGCGCACCTCGTCACACGCGCACCTCGTCACACGCACCTCGTCACACGCGCACCTCGTCACACGCACCTCGTCACACGCGCACCTCGTCACACGCACCTCGTCACACGCACCTCGTCACACGCACCTCGTCACACACACCTCGTCACACGCGCCTCGTCACACGCACTTCGTCACACGCACCTCGTCACACACGCACCTCGTCACACGCACCTCGTCACACGCGCACCTCGTCACACACACACCTCGTCACACGCACCTCGTCACACACGCACCTCGTCACACGCACCTCGTCACACACACCTCGTCACCGTCACACGCACCTCGTCACACACGCACCTCGTCACACGCACCTCGTCACACGCACCTCGTCACACGCGCACCTCGTCACACGCACCTCGTCACACGCACCTCGTCACACGCGCACCTCGTCACACGCACCTCGTCACACGCGCACCTCGTCACACGCACCTCGTCACACGCGCACCTCGTCACACGCGCACCTCGTCACACGCACCTCGTCACACGCGCACCTCGTCACACGCACCTCGTCACACGCACCTCGTCACACGCACCTCGTCACACGCGCACCTCGTCACACGCACCTCGTCACACGCACCTCGTCACACGCACCTCGTCACACGCGCACCTCGTCACACGCACCTCGTCACACGCACCTCGTCACACGCACCTCGTCACACACCTCGTCACACGCGCACCTCGTCACACGCACCTCGTCACACGCGCCTCGTCACACGCGCCTCGTCACACGCGCACCTCGTCACACGCACCTCGTCACACGCACCTCGTCACACGCACCTCGTCACGCGCGCACCTCGTCACGCGCGCACCTCGTCACGCGCACCTCGTCACGCGCACCTCGTCACACGCACCTCGTCACGCGCACCTCGTCACACGCACCTCGTCACACGCACCTCGTCACACGCACCTCGTCACACGCACCTCGTCACACGCGCACCTCGTCACACGCACCTCGTCACGCGCACCTCGTCACACGCACCTCGTCACACGCACCTCGTCACACGCACCTCGTCACACGCACCTCGTCACACGCACCTCGTCACACGCGCACCTCGTCACACGCACCTCGTCACACGCACCTCGTCACACACGCACCTCGTCACACGCGCACCTCGTCACACGCACCTCGTCACGCGCACCTCGTCACACGCACCTCGTCACACGCACCTCGTCACACGCACCTCGTCACACGCACCTCGTCACACACACCTCGTCACACGCACCTCGTCACACGCGCACCTCGTCACACGCACCTCGTCACACACACCTCGTCACACACGCACCTCGTCACACGCACCTCGTCACACGCACCTCGTCACACACGCACCTCGTCACGCGCACCTCGTCACACGCGCACCTCGTCACACACACACCTCGTCACACGCACCTCGTCACACACGCACCTCGTCACACACACACCTCGTCACACACACACCTCGTCACTTGCACCTCGTCACACACGCACCTCGTCACACGCACCTCGTCACACGCGCACCTCGTCACACACACACCTCGTCACACGCGCACCTCGTCACACACACCTCGTCACACGCACCTCGTCACCGTCACACGCACCTCGTCACACGCACCTCGTCACACGCACCTCGTCACACGCACCTCGTCACCGTCACACGCACCTCGTCACACGCACCTCGTCACACGCGCACCTCGTCACACACACCTCGTCACACGCACCTCGTCACCGTCACACGCACCTCGTCACACGCACCTCGTCACGCGCGCACCTCGTCACACGCACCTCGTCACACGCACCTCGTCACACGCACCTCGTCACACGCACCTCGTCACACGCACCTCGTCACACGCGCACCTCGTCACACGCACCTCGTCACACACACCTCGTCACACGCACCTCGTCACACGCACCTCGTCACGCGCGCACCTCGTCACACGCACCTCGTCACACGCGCACCTCGTCACACGCACCTCGTCACACGCACCTCGTCACGCGCGCACCTCGTCACACGCACCTCGTCACACGCGCACCTCGTCACACGCACCTCGTCACACACACCTCGTCACACACACCTCGTCACACGCGCACCTCGTCACACGCACCTCGTCACACGCACCTCGTCACACACACCTAGTCACACGCGCACCTCGTCACACGCACCTCGTCACACGCGCACCTCGTCACACGCACCTCGTCACGCGCGCACCTCGTCACACGCACCTCGTCACACGCACCTCGTCACACGCGCACCTCGTCACACGCACCTCGTCACGCGCGCACCTCGTCACACGCACCTCGTCACACGCACCTCGTCACACACACACCTCGTCACACGCACCTCGTCACACGCACCTCGTCACACGCACCTCGTCACACGCGCACCTCGTCACACGCGCCTCGTCACACGCGCCTCGTCACACGCGCACCTCGTCACACGCACCTCGTCACACGCACCTCGTCACACGCACCTCGTCACACGCGCACCTCGTCACACGCACCTCGTCACACACACCTCGTCACACGCACCTCGTCACACGCACCTCGTCACACGCGCACCTCGTCACACGCACCTCGTCACACACACCTCGTCACACACGCCTCGTCACACGCACCTCGTCACACGCACCTCGTCACACACGCACCTCGTCACACGCACCTCGTCACACGCGCACCTCGTCACACACACACCTCGTCACACGCACCTCGTCACACACGCACCTCGTCACACGCACCTCGTCACACACACCTCGTCACCGTCACACGCACCTCGTCACACACGCACCTCGTCACACGCACCTCGTCACACGCACCTCGTCACACGCGCACCTCGTCACACGCACCTCGTCACACGCACCTCGTCACACGCGCACCTCGTCACACGCACCTCGTCACACGCGCACCTCGTCACACGCACCTCGTCACACACACCTCGTCACACACACCTCGTCACACGCGCACCTCGTCACACGCACCTCGTCACACGCACCTCGTCACACGCGCACCTCGTCACACGCACCTCGTCACACGCACCTCGTCACACGCACCTCGTCACACGCGCACCTCGTCACACGCACCTCGTCACACGCACCTCGTCACACGCACCTCGTCACACACCTCGTCACATGCGCACCTCGTCACACGCACCTCGTCACACGCACCTCGTCACACGCGCCTCGTCACACGCGCACCTCGTCACACGCACCTCGTCACACGCACCTCGTCACACGCACCTCGTCACACGCGCACCTCGTCACACGCACCTCGTCACACACACCTCGTCACACGCACCTCGTCACACGCACCTCGTCACACGCGCACCTCGTCACACGCACCTCGTCACACACACCTCGTCACACACGCCTCGTCACACGCACCTCGTCACACGCACCTCGTCACACACGCACCTCGTCACACGCACCTCGTCACACGCGCACCTCGTCACACACACACCTCGTCACACGCACCTCGTCACACACGCACCTCGTCACACGCACCTCGTCACACACACCTCGTCACCGTCACACGCACCTCGTCACACACGCACCTCGTCACACGCACCTCGTCACACGCACCTCGTCACACGCGCACCTCGTCACACGCACCTCGTCACACGCACCTCGTCACACGCGCACCTCGTCACACGCACCTCGTCACACGCGCACCTCGTCACACGCACCTCGTCACACACCTCGTCACACCACCTCGTCACACGCGCACCTCGTCACACGCACCTCGTCACACGCACCTCGTCACACGCGCACCTCGTCACACGCACCTCGTCACACGCACCTCGTCACACGCACCTCGTCACACGCGCACCTCGTCACACGCACCTCGTCACACGCACCTCGTCACACGCACCTCGTCACACACCTCGTCACATGCGCACCTCGTCACACGCACCTCGTCACACGCACCTCGTCACACGCAACCTCGTCACACGCGCACCTCGTCACACGCACCTCGTCACACGCACCTCGTCACACGCACCTCGTCACACACCTCGTCACACGCGCACCTCGTCACACGCACCTCGTCACACGCACCTCGTCACACGCGCCTCGTCACACGCGCACACTCGTCACACGCACCTCGTCACACGCACCTCGTCACACGCACCTCGTCACACGCACCTCGTCGCGCGCGCACCTCGTCACGCGCGCACCTCGTCACGCGCACCTCGTCACGCGCACCTCGTCACACGCACCTCGTCACGCGCACCTCGTCACACGCACCTCGTCACACGCACCTCGTCACACGCACCTCGTCACACGCACCTCGTCACACGCGCACCTCGTCACACGCACCTCGTCACGCGCACCTCGTCACACGCACCTCGTCACACGCACCTCGTCACACGCACCTCGTCACACGCACCTCGTCACACGCACCTCGTCACACGCGCACCTCGTCACACGCACCTCGTCACACGCACCTCGTCACACACGCACCTCGTCACACGCGCACCTCGTCACACGCACCTCGTCACGCGCACCTCGTCACACGCACCTCGTCACACGCACCTCGTCACACGCACCTCGTCACACGCACCTCGTCACACACACCTCGTCACACGCACCTCGTCACACGCGCACCTCGTCACACGCACCTCGTCACACACACCTCGTCACACACGCACCTCGTCACACGCACCTCGTCACACGGCACCTCGTCACACACGCACCTCGTCACGCGCACCTCGTCACACGCGCACCTCGTCACACACACACCTCGTCACACGCACCTCGTCACACACGCACCTCGTCACACA